CCCTGGTAACGAGGCCCAGGGAGTGATGCATGATGGGAGGTGAGAATAAGCGTCCCCCTGGTAACGAGGTCCAGCACTCAGCAGCTTTCCATGGTTCAAGGTAGACCAACTGCAGCAAGCACACAAACTACATGCTCAAACCCAGCAAACTCCATCTGGGCATCGGTCCTGCTTTTTTTCCTCATAGACAATCTGTCTTAACAAAAGCTGGACAAAATGGACTAGTAATTTCTAACCACAGTGAAATGCCTGTTAAAATCAACCCCCCCTTGCTGCATGGTTAGGATGTATCAGTGTATTTTAATTCATTTTGATATTCCCTCCAACTGAAACAAGAACATAGAAGCACTACATGACAAAAACAATAAACGGCCTATGTAGGACAACCAATTGGGTCATGTGATCTGTCTTTCAGCAATGCATGGCAGCCCAACTATTAAAAGTGAGGAGCTTTCGCTGACAGACAGCTCCAGGCTTACAGAAGCCACCACATGGATACCCTAGAAAAATTAATAAGAAAAAATTTCATCCTTTAACCTTTGATTTCATCTTCATTGCAAACAAGGAACTTCAGAATTTAAACTGAGAATTTCACATGAATAAAAAAAAAAAATACATAGCATACATAGTGTGTTGCATGTGTTTTGTGCTTGTGTGTGTTTGTGGGACAGGTTAATGAAGAGGACACGCAGGCCTCTATAGCAGCGGTAGCAGCCGTTTATAGGGTGCCTGCTGCTGCACGGTCAGTGATACGGCTCAGTGCATACAGGGCAAGGGGGTCTGCACCAGCAGCAGCTGCTCATTACAGCACCGTGCAACGTGGTGATGAGTAACACACTCACTGCTAACTCTTACAGGCAAATTGGAGGAAGTGGATCTCTGAAAATGAAACACTGGCAGATCAGCTCGACAGAGGAGAAAACAGGCAAGCTACACGATGCAAGGGAAATCATGTGTGGGAGGGGTGCGGACAGTGTGGGAAGTGATCAGAGAGAGCTGCTGGCGTGGGGACCGAGGGCAAGATAGAGAGGCAGTACCACAGCGATTCCACCAGGGGGTGGTGCTGCTCACTGCTCACATTCTCCCTGGAGTTCTTCCTTAAACAATGGTCATCCTTACTGCTTGATTCAGAGATACTGCTGGGGCACCTGGCAGGCAGGCGGGCATCTTCCAGTGTCCGCAGTGTGTGTGTGTGTGTGTGTGTGTGTGCGTGTGGTCCATATATACATTACATTGAGGGGACCAAATGTCCGTACAGTGTGACTAAAAGCTGTTACTTTGACGTGGTGGGGAGCATTTTTTTGGTCCTCACAAGGGGAAATTCAATCATATAAAAATCGGTGACTGCAACCAAAACAGTACAAATTCCAAAAGTCTGTATTTTGTTTGGTTACTTATGGTTATGGTTGGAGCTGGGTAGGGGTTTCGGTCATCATTTTTGGGATTAGAGATGCCCATAGAAATAAATAGAGTCCCCACAAAGATATGAATACATGGACTGTGTGTGTGTGTGTATGTGTGTGTGAGAGAGAGAGACAGTCCAGCATTTTACTCCTCATTCCTCCGCAGCGTTAGAGTAGAGTCATCAAACAGAGGATTCCTCACTTCCATTTCTCCAGTCTAATGGGAGAAGAAAAGAAAAACAGACGATCACATCTCAAGAACGTCTAAAAACAACAGCTGCTTGCACACACACATATGGGCACATGCTGTGGAATACTGGCACATGGTATCAAAGTTTCAGGGTTGCAGGTTCAAATGCATTTGAATATTGCATGTTTTCGCTATGTTGATACAGCTCTGCCCCATTTCTGAGAGCTCTGCAGGTTCTAGAGGAGGATCCATGATGAGACAAGCCTGGCTGGGCAGCACTACGGCGGACTTACCGGAGCCAGGCCGGGACATTCATACACAGTAAAGTCTCCATCCTCATTCTCCTCGTCCGAGGTGGTTCCAGAGTCCGGAACCTTATGCTCACCTCTGTGTCTGAGAAACATCAGGAGACAGAACTGGTCAGAGAGATGAAGGTGGCTGTTACTTTGGCATTTAGTCCATGTGTCTGTTCAGCAAGACCCAGCAGCCTGATATTTTGCTACAGCGCTTCAGGTTAAAGATCATTACATGGTCAGACTCTCCTGCGAATCTTCCAAGTTCACCTCCTGCTGATGACACGGTGCCTTGTACACAACATTAACGGTGAGTCTAGCACAGCACTGTGAGGAAAACGGAAGCATTTCCTGGTTTCTTTGGGACGGCCAAGCAGAGTGCAGACATAATGGAAACTCACCTCTCTAGGGATAGCATCTGCTGCTTCTGCTGCTGATAGTGATACATCTGGGCGCTGTGGGCCAGCTTCTTATCTCCTGTCTGGAGCAGAACGACACAAGGAGGCTGTTCAGTTCGCAGCCAGCCCACTGACTGCCCCACATTGCACTGCATCTGAGCGTTACTCACTTGCGTGCTGTCAAAGGTATGGGAACCCAACAGGCCGAAAGCCGGGTAATCCACCTTCTGAGCAAGGCGGGCGCCCTTCCGGAGCCTGCCGGGGGCGAGAGATGCGGGAGTGAGGGGAGCTGAAAGCTTCGACACATTTTGGAAGCCATTCAGTGTGTTTTAGCATAACTATACATAAATATTAAAGTGAATGTGAAGTGGAGTCCTAAGGTGTCTTTAAATCCATTGCAGTACGTGTTCTGTCAGTGGTTTGTCCTGCCAGTGAATTCCCGGAAGGGGACTGAAGCTTTAACTGTGTTTAAAGAGAGGTCTTTATAAGAAGGGCTGTAAATACAGTTTTTATCAATAACAACAAGAAAGGAATCTACCAGGGGTTGTTGTTAGATTAAAAACATCCATACTGAGGTGAAACGGGAACTGGGAAGAAACTTTTATTTAATCTTCTATTGTATTGATCTGCCAGGACTCCAGAGAATCCAAATTCTAAGGGACTTTTTGAAGCAGTTAAAAACAAACAGCAGAGAAGAAAAATAAAAATCACCTGATCCAACAAGCCACCGCCACAGTCAAGGCCAAGGTGCCCAGGATGGAGAAGGCAGCTGTCATGACTGTGAATGGAGAGAGGAGAATGGAGAAAGGGGGCATAGTGAGCAGTGCTATAAGAGAAGAAAATCCCACAAGGGAGGGAAGAGCAGCTGTGCAGGTTCTCAGACACAGGGGGCAGTCTGGTGACAGGTATGTGACAAACGCAAGTGTCCCCAGGCACAGAGTGACCCCTTATGCGTGGTAACCGAGCATTTTCCCTTCTAAAGGTAGTGCCTATACTACTTGAATTTTTTTAGTCTTGTTAAATACAAACATACTTAATGGAGGTAAGTGAAAGTGGGGAGGTGTATCAGAGAGTAAATGACTCTCACATCCTTCCCGGAGCCAATGATGCTTTTTGTTAGCAGTTAGGCTAAGACATCTCTATGGCTGCCTAACCTTTGGTTTGAAACCTCCAGAACTTATCGATTCAAACGTCTCCTCTTACTGATGCAAGAAAGTCCAACAAAGAACATCCTTGTGAGTCTGATGGCACTGGCCCTTTGCTGCCCCTAGTTGGCCTCGGCCTGCATTAGCACTGCTGGGGGATAACCGGGGGTCCTGCCAGAGAGCAGGGGTTCTGGTGCTAGCAGGGCTGCGGGGCCTGATGTATCTCAGAGTATCACTCCTGCGTGAGCTAACAAGTGCTAACACCATCATGCCAGTAGAAAGGGGGAGGCTAATTTCATTGGGCTGATATTAAGAATGGCTACGCTAAACCAGTCGCCTAGCAGATGCCTGTTTGAACCCGACCAGGACATAATGAAATTATCGGGGCCTTCTAGTGGCCTGAAGCCCCCTGCAGGTGGTGATGCTGAGCTCCCGCCATCCCTACAGCATTGTGATATTTCTTTGTGTCGCCAAGCTGCAGATATAATTTGGGCTCCTCAAAGCTGAGCTAGGTGCACGGCTTTGCTTGTGGACTTGAGCGCCATGCATTCCAAACAGGGGCTTAAACTGGTTGCAGCGTGCACCAGTTTAAGTGCAGCCTGTCAAAACTCAGGACAGGAATTAGTGTCGCGCTGTTTGGCTGATAACCAGACTCAGGGCAGAATGGCTTCTAAAATCTCTGCAAGATCTCTGTCATGAGTCGCTTATTTTGTTTATCCAAAGAGACTTTCAATTTTATCCATTTATTGAGTGAGAATAGAGTATTTCTGATGAAGAACCTAGTTTGAGGCAGCTACAGAAGGACCACACTTGGCACTTGAACATGTAACCTGCAGATTACGAAAATGTGATGTTAGACGCTACTCTGCTGGTCACACAGAACATACCAACTGTGTACTTCTGTTGAATTTCACAAAGGCTGCAAACCTACCAGTCAGAACTTTGTTCTTTGAAGGGTATGTAGCAGCCACAGGCTCCCTCCAAATTGGGGGGGTCTGGCTGGGGGAGGTTGGCTGGGGATCCACCCCGGGATGGGCGGAAGGCACAGGGGTGGTGTTACTCTGCTTACGTTTCTCTGGTTCTGGTGTCAGAGGAGAGAAGCAGATGAGGAAGGAACAAAAATAAATCAATGATTAGATCTGTATCACTCTGCCCATGTTATTTAAGAAGCCCTGGACTAAAAGATCACACAGGTATTTTGGGATAAGACTATGTAGAACTTTAAATGAGCAACAGTTTGCACCCATTGTGGGATTCAACAGGAAGCCAATGCAGGGCACCCTGGTTCTGCTTAGCTTAGGGATTTGAGTTAGTTTTGCTTGTTCAAGTTTGACTGGACTGTTCTTTGGTTCACTACCTCAGTGTCCTGCAATCTGTCTACTGAAAGTCTGACCCTATTTGGACCTTCATCCTTGGTTGAATCAACTCAACCATCTCACATTTCTAACATATATACTGTATCTAACATCAGTGGCAGAATATTGAGATGAGTCTAGCACAGAGCAAAGGTCTGATAGGCAGAAGACCTTGCATGGAGTGTGACTGAGGCTTGAAGAGTACCCAGCTTCCCATGTCAGTATTCCTTAATTAAGGTTCGATTTTTACAATTCTGTCCCCTATCCATACAATATGGTGTTATCCTCTCTGAACCATCATTAACTGCTACAAACACACCAGTCACCCTCATTTAAGTATTTATGCAACTTTAGCAGCGTTAAACGATTCGCTAACAGGAGATGCTGGACCGTTGAAAATCATTCTACCTTTGTATGCTTGCTTTCATTTTTGTCATTAAATAGTTATTACTCTCTGCAAAGAGGACCCTGGATGTATTTCAACAACAACATGACTCATAAAATGCATCTTGGCATGTGATTTCTGGGTGTGGCAAATTTTCATGATATTTAGCATAGTGAGCTATGTTTAACTAAAGAAGAGGTCTTCTTTTTTGGTGTGGCTCCCAGGGTCGATGGCATGGTCATTGTTGAGCCTCTGAGCTAGGCTCCTAACCCTCAATTTCCCCAGGGACTGGCTGGCTTTGCTTTCTCCATTGTACACCCTGTTTAATTGAAGCGCTCGCTATAAAAAATATAAATGCTTTAGCAAAGAACAAAAGAAGTTGACAGTTATGTCACTATGACTACTCACAACATAATGACTGTGGGCAGTCTTACCTGACTGTCTGACCTGTGACCTCTGTTTGGCGATGATGGAGGACAGGAAATCAATCTCCTCATCAAGTTCGGGGTGACTGGTCACCTTAGCTGAAAAATGAGAGATGAAATCAACTGACATTGATTGATAAGCAAATTGTACAGCATTTCATAATAGATGAAATACACTTGCAGTTTATGTAGTTTGACAGCGCAGATGACTTTTAAGTTAAAACAGTTGAAACAGACAGTGCGCCCCCCCCCCCCCCAGGAAATGAAAAAAAGACACCGCTGTTGACGACACAGGCAGTTTCTGGACTAGGACTAGCTTCTCCATGGCAACTGGGGCCTCATGGTGTGTGTGTGGCCAGGGGAGGATCTATGGAGAAACCTTCTCCCCCACATCCCTCTCCACGTCCTCAGAATGACAGTCAGACATGAGAATGCAAACATACGGGGTGGCATCTTCAGACTCACGTAGTGAATTCTCAGTGTCAGATACGGAGCAGGGCTGGAAAGTCACCACTGGTAGACATGTCAGGATTGGTCCCTGTCTTGCCTGTTCTGTATCTCATTTCTCGATTCGACCAGCAGGTCTCACTGGCCATCCTGTTTATTTGGTGCCCCTGTTGTTTTCCCCTCCCCCTTGGGTCACTGTGTGGCTAAATAGGCTAAGCAGGTGGTTCTGGCCCAAGCAACTCCTCTGTCATGGGTTCTCGGTTGGCTAGAGGCCAGCCTCACCTTGTTGGACATTTTGTGTTCTTGTGCTCTGAATTCTGTTGTGAATGTATTGTTAACCTCGTCGGCGATGCAGCGTATTTTTCATGTCTATTTCAGTTTATATCTCACTGAAATATTTATGTAGAATCATGAAAAAAAATGCTGACTAAATCCGTAATCTGTCTTCTTTTCAAAACGTCCATTGTTAGAAGTATTAAAGTTTTTAAAATTAAGTTAAATCAGCAAAAAAGGTAAACCGTGTCACCTTTCTTAGTTTTACCTGCATCGGGGGCGTGTAGTACCGCTGTCACCCGAAGATCGCTATTCACATTCTAAATAGCCGCATTAGCGCGTATTCAAATCGCATTCGCATGGTAATTTGATGAACAACGCAACGATGAAACGTGATCCAGATACCTCCCCATCAGCGCCATAAAAGTGGGGGGGGATGTGGCCAGGTGTGAATGGCTCATGCATACACATGAGAGCTCCTACATATTCAATGAAAGGAGCCAGAAATAGTGACATGAGTTCGGTTTTTCTTATTTATTTATCCAACTGAATGTTGCAACTACACCATTTAGTCATCTTCATGTAGACTTTGGTGATCAGATATCTGGGATCAAAACAAACTGGCACCACTGTGTACTATGTACTTTTATAATGTTTCTGCAAGTGTTCCAAGCTGCATTTTGCAATTTCTATACTTTGATGTCAAATTACAAACTTAACATAAATCTGACATATTTACAATATACATTAAAATTAAGATGAGTGTAATGCCAAACCAAACATATAAGAAATAATTTATTTGCCATGAATTAAGTTTATGATATTTAAAGAAATGTGTGACCATGCCCCAGTCAAAGTATGTTCCCTACCCCTAGACCCCAGAAGGTTAAGATTCAAGATAAGATTCAAAGCATTTATTGTCATACAGTATGTACAGTAGAAAAGTGCATTTCTCCGTGCAATGAAATTCTTACTTTGCTGTCTACACAAAATGCAGAGGTACAATATAATAGAAAAAAATAGAAAAATAAATACTTTGAGTGTAATGTGCAAAAGAGCTTAATGCGCAAAAAATTACAGTATGAGGTAGTATGGTATGGTAGTATGGTAGTATGATGTCCATTATTCATACTCCTGTCGGCTGTTAAGGAGTCTGATGGCAGTGGGGAAGAAGGAATTGTTAAGTCGGGAGGTTCTAGATTTCACACTTCTGTCTTCCGTCCTGAGGGCAGAAGTGTGAACAGTTCGTGTTGGGGGTGTGTGGGGTCTTTGTGGATGGAGGCAATTCTCCTTTGGACTCTGCGGTGGTAGCTGCTCTGCAAAGAGGGCAGCAGAGTCCTGAAGATCTTCTCCGCAGTCTTCACCACTCTGCAGGTGTTTGCAGTCCATAGCTGTAGTGCTGCCATACCACGCGGTGATGCAGCTGGTCAGTGTGCTCTCCACAATGCAGCTGTATTAGTTGCTGAGGATCTTGGTTGACATACCAAACTTCCTCAGGAAGTACAGTCACCGTTGAGCCTTCTTCACCAGCTGTGTGGTGTTCAGTGACCAGGTGAGGTCCTCACTGATGTGGACGCCCAGGTACTTAAAGCTGCTGACAACACAACCCTGTGGGATGCCAGTTTGTGGTGATGCTGGCTAAAGTCCTGTTGCCGATCCTGACAGACTGAGGTCTGCCAGTCAAAAAATCCAGGAGCCAGTCAGTGTGGTCAGTTTGTGGATGAGTTTGTGGAGGATGACCATGTTGAAGGCAGAGCTGTAGTCAACAAAGAGCATCCTGATGTAGTAGTCTTTGTTTTCCAGGTGGGAGAGGGAATAGTGAAGGGCAGCAGCGATGGCATCTGATGTGGACCTGTTGGGCTGGTAGGCATACTGCAGGGGGTCCACAGTATCTAGGATGTTGCTCTGGATGTGGGTCAGCACCACTCTCTCAAAACACTTTGCGATGATTGGAGTGAGTACTACTGGTCTGTAGTCATTCATGCAGGTGACTGTGCTTTTCTTTGGGAGGGGGACAATGGTTGTGGTCTTGAAGCTGGTGGGAACAGTGCTCTGGCTGAGGGAAAGGTTGAAGATTGAGGTGAGAACATCACCTTTTGTACCGTCCTGCAGGACGCTCTCAGATCTCTGGGGTCTATCGTTTCACAAGTTTGGTGACAAGGTTTGACTGTTTCAGTCTCTGCCTATAGGCCGGGTACATGAACAGAGTGTGGTCTGACTGTCCGAAGTGGGGGTGGGGTGCAGCCCTGTATGTGCCATGTATGTTGCTGTAAATGTGGTCCAAGGTGTTCTTAATTATCTGTTCATGTATCTCTGTTTTGATCCATGTTTTTTAGCTTTAGTTAACCCTGATTATATGTATCTTGTCTTGTAGTAATGTTCCGTACCCATGTTTCTAGTATCTCTTAGTTTGAATCCTTAGTATTTGTTAATTACCCTCACCTGTTCCTTGTTGTCCCTAGTCTCTAGTGTTCGTGTGTAATTTGTAACAACCCACACCTGTCTTTCATCTGACCCTTGTTATCTGTGCATTTAAGTGACAGCTCTTATTCTGTTCCTCAGTCAGATATTGTGTCTGCTCCTGTTTTGCTGTGTGCTTGAGTTCTGGCTTGTTACTGGAGTCTGTACAGTAGGTATTGTGTATGGTTTTGCTTGTGTTTTCCTCAATACTTCCCTATGTCCAATCAATCATTGTTAATTATGATTCTGTCTTCCTGCCTTTGTTCTGACTTCACATGGTCCTTTTGCTTCAAGTACCATTTGTACTAATTCTGTAAAGTTTCCTTGTTATCTGTAAGCCATACCAGGATAAACTCGTAATGGCAGCCTCCTTAAAATCACCACACTGCTGTTACCCCCCCTTAAGCTCGAGCCTTAAGCAGAAGATGGCGGCCTGCTCCGTGCCCAGAAGCTCCTTTCATGCCAAGGCATTTCTGTGGCATAAACTGAAGAAGCAGCTAATTGAATTCAGTTTCTTGAAACGCCCAGACCCACGAAAGTGAAACCAAAAGCTAGACACAGTGCTGAACACACTATGGGAGGCAGGGGGTACGCTTACGTGCCAGTGAGCGTGCGAGAGTGTCGAGGCAACCAACCATCTGGCTGATTACAGGACGGCTGCTGAAACTTGCAATTACCCATCATCCCCTGCACCACGCACGCAGTGATTGTTTGTACACAAACAGAACGTGAGATGTACCGCGAGATCCTTCCTCCCCCAGCACATCTGCCATGAATTCATGGTGTAACTTCAGACTGGGATGCTCAAAGATCACAGCCCTACATCAATTACATCACAGCCCTACAGCATTGCACCGTTATACGGCGACATCATGCCCTGCAGCTCACTGGCACAGCAAAGTGATGCCGAACAACACAGCATAGCTTTATAGCCCTGTAACACAACGAAGCCCAGATGGAACACGACTTCCTACATGACCGGAAGTTGTGGTTAAACTCATGCTGAAGCACCATATATTTTTAAAGACACTTTCTTAAAAAAGTCGAGAGCTTGTCCATACAGGTGACCGAGGCCACAGGCAATAGAAAAGCTTTGGGTAAAGAGAAAAAAACACTCCTGTGACCCTTCCCTGTGATTATATCTGACACAGATGAAAGGTAGGCTGCACTTTGAAAACACTGATGAGAGGCAATGTCACCTTTCTGGCAGGGATGGAGCCTGAGTTGGTGTGCGAGGTTGAAAGATTCCGACTAGATATAGTCGGGCTCACCTCGAAGCACGGCTTGGGCTCTGGAACCAGTGTGCTCAAGGGGGGTTGGATCCTCTTCCACTCTGGAGTTGCTCACGGGGAGAGGCACCGAGCGGGGGTGGGCATACTTATTGCCCCCTGGCTGGGCACCTGTACATTGGGGTTTACCGCAGTGGATGAGAGGGTAGCCTCCCTTCGCCTTCGGGTGGGGGGATGGGTCCTGACTGTTGTTTGCGCTTATGCGCCAAATGGCAGTTCAGAATACCCACCCTTTTTGGAGTCCTTGGAAGGGGTGTTGGAGACCACTCCTCCTGGGGACTCTCTTGTTCTGCTGGGAGCCCAGGCATATAGTGAGGGTCTGCTGGGAACATCTGGCGGGATCCCCTGTCAGAAGGAGCTTCAACTCCTACCTCCGGCAGAACTTCACCCATGTCCCGGGGGAGGCGGGGGACATTGAGTTTGAATGGCCCATGTTCCGCGCCTCCATTGTGGAGGCGGCTGACCAGAGCTGAGGCCGTAAGGAGGCTGATGCCTGTCGCGGCTGCAATCCCCGAACCCGCTGGTGGACACCGCCGGTGAGGGATGCCGTCAAACTGAAAAAGGAGTCCTATCAGGCCTTTTTGGCCTGTGGAACTCCAGAGGCAGCTGATGAGTACCGGCGGGCCAATC